ATTCTAACCGGGGCACCAGGTGCAAAGGAGGGGCGATGGGAGGGGCGATGGGAGGGGGAGGAGATGAAAGAGAGCAGCAGCAGAAACACATATCCCCGGAAGCAGAAGAGAGCCAGCACAGTCCAGGTCCAGACACTCAACCACACACACATTCACACAATCCAAACAGGTACATACAGTCAATCAACCATGTCAACAAGAATAATTACAGAGTCTGATTGTTTCACTGAACTATCTGAGCCTATTCTGCACACATTTCAATGTTGAAGCTTGTTTTTTTTGTCTTTGCCCCTTTTCAGCTTCTAAAAACAAGTGAAAGTCCACTTATGTGTCGCAGCAACTTGACTTGCTCGTCCGCGTAATTGTTTCTTTTTCGAGTGCAACTGAACTACTTTTGTGACATCAATTAGGTGTTCATTGATTTGTATTCGCTGAAAAGTGAAACTGTGCATAGATTCTTCAGGGCTAATCGAATGATTTTATAGTAATTTTTATTTCAGCCATAACAGCAACAAAGTTCCCCAATCGACATCAGGCAACCATCACACCAATCAGAGTCAGAGTCATAACAGCCACCCCCACCCCCACTTCCTCAGACCCCCACCGCCTAAAAACAACAACAACAACAACAACAACAACAACAACAACAACAACAACAACAACAACAACAACAACAACAACAACAACAACAACAACAACAACAACAACAACAACAACAACAACAACAACAACAACAACAACAACAACAACAACAACAACAGCAACAACAACAACAACAACAACAACAACAGCAACAACAACAACAACAACAGCAGCAGTTGCCAATCAGGGGGGACAGGGGGGCTGGTGGCGAATGGAAGTGTCCCCACTGGAACAGCCACCCCCACTTCCGAACTCCCCCATCCTCCTCTTCCTCCTAATCAACCCCACCATCAGTATGCAAACAACACTCCGGGTCAGTACCTGGACTGGATACGTTTCCAATACTGATACTCCCACAAAAACACAAGTGCTCCACATTGCTTCCACCGGCTCGTCGTTCCAATCGCGACTTCAGCGACGTCTTTGAAAATTGCGCCACTTTTCTTTCTGTTTTAATTTCCGAATGCTTAAATCTAAATTTGGCTGGTCTAAGGATGGTCAATGTTGAACTCTAAGAATTTCAATTAACAACAAGACTGCTCGTATCAGGGCGAAGCCCTGAATGTTCCGACTGCCTCTTAAGGTCTATCGAGCAGTAATAACATGGAAAAATTAAATGAAATAAAACAAAATGAAAATTTTTTTCCCTAAAATTTAATTTTTTTTTTGTGAAAATCATCGCCCCACGCGCCATAAAAAGTACAAAGGGATAGATTTTGCTCCTTGTAACAAATCAATTATGGTCAATAAGATTCTTTCAACAATTTGGAACGATTTCTAAGACGGATTAACTCTCCGCTTATTCGCTAATAGCGCGTAATATATCGCCCGTTAATTGTCCCAAATTAGCCAAAATGGCAATCTTTAAACCCCCATAACTTTACAAAAAATGATCACAGGTGAAATATTTTTTAAATTTAAGCTCAGGACAACAATACCTTTTGAATGATATAAAAAAAATCCGTCAAAAATGGCTAGTTAAAAAGTCGAAATTTGTCTGAAGAAAAAAAAACCCAACCCGACCACAAATATTTCCGTTACTTTCGTATCGAAAGTCGGATTAAAAAGACTACATGAGAGTTGGACAACTTTCTAAACACTCGTTCGAAACTGTCTTTTCAAAAGTGATACTTTTTGTTTCCACGTTGGCTGTGGAACTGCCATAGAAGATCCCGCAGGGACAAAAATGCGTAAAAATTGATTATACACAGAAAAATCTACATATCAATTCAAGAATAGAATCTATTTATCTAAATCCAATTTGCAAACGATCGTCGATTCTGCAGATAGAATCTATTTTTCCACCAAAGTTAATTGAATTTTATGCCGAAATAATCGATTTTTCTACTCTATCAAACCTGTATATAATCAATAGATAATCTGTATAAATTTGATTATATTGCTTAAAAACTATAGTAAATGTTTGAAGCTGATCACCGTAGTTTGTTTTACTGTACTGTAGGTTCTCAAAGACGCCTGCAACATCAGCAGCCAGTGGGGGACATTGTGGCCACAAGTGCATGCTCCAGAAGACAAACATCACCCCCCTCATTTAAACAGCCAAGTGCACAAGCCCCCACTGCCCCTCAAACAGTTCTCACAGCTGGTGTAGAAGGGGGGCCGAGGAGGAGGGGAAGCAGTTTGAGCAGGAGCAGGAACAGGAAGGGGGGCATCCAGCAGGGCCCCACTGCCGCTCCCACACACATGCACTTCTGCTCGGACGAGGACGAAGACGAAGAGGGGGAGGGGGAGGGGGATGTGAGCAGCAGTGGGGCCGAGATCAACCTGTAGCTCATCTCCCTCATCCATTGCTCCCCCATAACACAAGTGGGGCAGTGGCTCACGCCTGTGCGATCATCTACTCCATTTCACAGACACTCCTGAGAGCAGAATAGAAAAGAATTGGTCATGAAATGAAGGAGTTCCATTTGACCGAGTGTGGGGATTCCAAAATGATGAAATCCATCTGATGATGACACATGTTTCAAAAAACAACATCAGCCAACATCCTGCAAACAGATCAAAAAGCAAAGACACATAAGTAGTACAGCCAAATAAGAAGATTGAATACTTTTGAGCAGAGCGGTGAACAAACAACTGGCAAGATGTGTTCAGCAGGACACAAACACACTTCGAAATCAATCTGTTCATGTCATAAAGTAAAGTATCGTCGAACATCCGTAAATGAAAGCGTGGGACTACCTAAGAATAATATGGACAGTGGACGTCTCAAATTGTACACCTCACATATTCTTACTCCCAGACTGTTCAATTTCTCGAAACTCGTTCGTTGCCATGTAATATACTATAGTAACATTTTCATATTCTGAATTTGATTGAATTATAGCTCACAATGCCTATTCATATAATTTATTTATAGTTGAAAAGAAATAAAAACAATTAACTTTCAGCTAAGTGTAACAACTAAGTGTAGAAGATAGGTATACTTCACAAAAAAGGACAAAAAGTGTACAACAAGGGTTGCTTAATATTTGGGTGAACAGAACTAGTTTTGATATATCCTGTGTGGGTCATTTCTCATCTCAAACTAATTACCTAATCACAGTTGGAATCCGATTGTAAATAAGGTCTAAATTCGTTTTCAGGGCATAATAACAAAGGCCACAGATAGCTAATGCCACAATTACACAAAGAATAGAATAGGTTTCAAATGTATTTTTATAGGGAATGGCATCCTCACGGTGAGTTTAAGCACTGATAAAAGAATAGATAATTAGCCACCCAGAATTCACTCAGCAGCAGATTGAATATTCTGAACTGTTGAATTTCTTCTTCCTCTTTGTCACTCTCTGAAATTTTTACCCAACTTGATTGTTCAAGATTTCTAGACCGAATGACTCCATCTGCCAAAATTTGCAAAACATCAACGTTTTCCCGCCCGTACCGAGAAAATTATTTATTTCTGACCTGAAACTCTTTTTGAAATGATTAATTACAGAAGATATTTCAATTAAATTCTTTTTTTCTCATCTTAATTCAGATCAGAAATTAGCTAAGTCTCTGCTATTTCTAGCTAGAAAAAAATCTACTGGTGGGGCTCGAAAGCCTGACCTTTAGACGGTTGTGCTAACCACTATGCTACAGCTCTTCATGGAGATTGATAGTTTTAGCAAAATAACAGTTGTTATAACCAGTGTTAGTTTGCATTGTATTGCTTCTGTTATAGTGTATACTCGAAGCATGTTGATCTCGTTGCGGTTGAGCAGTGTACTGATTTCTGGTTATTTCTTTCCAGAAACTGTTTATTTCTAAACTAGAAGAAAAAAACTTATTTTTTGCACAGAAAACACGAGAAAACTAGGCTAGATAATCTAGATCAAAATTCAATCTAGAAAAAACAGCCTTCGATGGGTACGGGGCACGAAATTGACCGCATGCGTCTATTCGATTTTTCGTTACAAACTCCGAATTGCTACACACTAGTATTCTGGCTTGAGCTCCAAACACGAAAAATGCTTTGTCATGCAATTCCATGTACCCATGTACTGATTGTCCAGAAAAAAATGTACTGAAAGATTTCCAATCGAAGAAAAAAATTGTAAAAAGCATTTTTTCAAGTAATTTTTCTTCCTAGTCGCAAAATTCACATGCTTAAATACACATTTTTTGAAGAAAAATGTTTGCATGCAAAAGTTTGTAGTTTTGTCCATAAAGTGGTCAAGGTTGAATATAAAGCAGTCAATGTTGAAAATAAATTACTATGATTTTTCAGTAAATCCAAACTTGAAACGTTCAATGCTTTTTATTCAGTATGATATATTTTAGTCTGTCACAAAACTCACGCTACGGTTATTGACTAGTAAAGTTTTTGAGTTGTAAAACACAAAAATCGGATCTTCTGATTGTAGAAAAAAATACTCATACAAATTTCATATATAGAAAAATTTTTATCACAGTGGTTTCAGTTAACTTCTGTACGTTTGAATTTATATGGATATACATAAAGTTTTATCGAATATGTATGATTAGGTGTTTTGGTCAATTCAGTATATTATTTAACGACGATGAAAATATTTTACAGGGTTAGTTTGGCAGAGTATTTTTGGGCATGAAACCAGCACCTCAAACCAAAGTTCCCAATTACCATTCATTTCTACTAATCTGTCCATTATCATGTTTAATTTTTTTTGACCAATTTTTTCAATAAAACATTCGTTTTGGTAGTCTTTGAATGTTTTTTCTTACTGATCACCTGGCTATAAAAGCTTCACGCTAGCAGCGTATAAACCCATAGGTCATTTTTGCCAAACATGTTCAAAACTTAAACAACTAAAAATTAGCTACGCACAAAAAAGATTCAGAACCAATAAAACAGAAACTTGTCGTCTATTCTAAAGCATTACTTGCTACTGTTTAGCTGGTCATAAAGTTGATTTAGTTTGCGTTTGCCGATTTAAAAGTTACACTGTTGCGAAGAAAATATTCTACAAAAAAAACAGTTTTTACGTTTCACAGATCAACTCAACGATTTTTAAGTAATTTTTTTTTGCTGATTGCTTACGTAGTAATTTAGATAGTTAGATTTACGATTATCGCGCTTGCGTCCGATCCTTCGACAACTTGAAGAAAATTCTTCAAATTCCTGAAACTGATTGCTTACTACGTCGATCCTTTGATATACGTAAGTTTTACGAGTAAATTCTAAACAACAATTTCGTGGTAATTCTTAAATTCAAACAAGACAGTTCGTATATCAGGGCAAAGCCCTGAAAGTTCCAACTGTCCTTTAATTCCTTTCAAACAGTTTTGAGGGAAAAAAGTTTGAAAACCTATGGATTTTAGACAATATCAAGGTGTGAAATGTGGAGTCGTAAGAAAGTTATACGACTGATCCCATTAGCTAGCCTCATTTCGTTTTGAAACGATTTTTTGTGCGGGATATATTGCCACGCATAAATATTTTGCATTACGCGCTTAGCAATATGAACAAGACTGCTCGTATCAGGGCGAAACCTTGAATTGAGTGATCCGACTGCCTTTTAAAGTCGTTCGAGCAGCCATAACATGAAAAATTTAAATGTAATAAGAACGAAATTGAGATTTTTTGGGGAAATGATCTCCCCACGCGCCATAAAGAGTACAAAGTGATAATTTTCGATCCTAGTAACACATCAATTACGGCAAAGAAGCTTCGTTTACCCAATTTGGAATGTTTTCTGAGACGGAATAAATTTCCGCTTACGCGTCAATAGCGCGAATTATATCGCGCATTAAATGTCCCAATTGGCAAAAACTGCTATCTTGAAAGCCCCACAACTTTACAAAAACGATCACAGTTGAATATCTTTTCAAATTTAAGCTTAGGGCAACAAAAAATCTTGAATGATTTTTAAAAAAAATTTCAAAATCGCTAAGTAAAAAATCGAAAATTGTCTGAAGAAAAAAACCCACCACGAGCACAAATATTCCGCCATTTTACTTACAAAAATCGGAACAATAATATCGTTAAAGCGCTCAGAATTTAGTCCAGAGCATGGCCAATTTGGCAATTTTCAAATCCCCAGAACTTCACAAAAAAATAATCGGAGGTAAAATATCGTTTTAAATTTGAACTCACGAAGTCGATAACTTCAACCGGGTATAAAAAGTTCTATTGAAACCTATTATATTGATCTTCAAAATTGATTAGAAAAAATCCACGCCGAGCTTAAATATTTCGTTTTCTTCAAAAATTGGATTAATAATAGGGATTTTAAGGCTATGCGATGCTTTTTCAGTCTAAAAGTTCGTTTGTTTGAACCATTGAAGACAGTTTTTACTAATTGGAATCACTTCCGATTATGTTCTCCGAGAGTAACTTTGGATTGCAAATTACCGCTTTGATAAATAAACCACGTGAAGGGGACAGTTTTTCATAATAGTTCAAATTAACCAGACAGAAAGAATAAAACTTTAAATTTCATACGAGTTTTTCTTCAGATGCGTTGACTGTAGACAAAAAAGGATGATAATTTTTTTTCATTTTGTCCAGCTATTTTAATAAAAACACTGTACAACGAAGTACCTCGTAGCTAAAAATTCAATACTGATAGAACTAAGGGAAAACTATTGAATCAGTCTATGCGCTGCAAAGAGCAAATTAGTACTATATTGAAATTCACATTGCCTTGGGTCAAAATTTTCGTGACAATTGAAATTAAGGCATTTTTTTCATATCATGAGAAACTAGGTCTTCAGAAGATCAAAAAAGCATACGGGTTGAATATCAGGGGAAATTTGTTTTGCACAGTTGCGAGCAGTTTTGATTGCATTTTCTAGAAGAGTCAGAACTATTGTCGCTGCTGATAAGTTTTTCGATTAAAGCAGAGAAGAAATTCAGCTCGCTGCATTTTTTTGTGCAGACAATTTTTGACTTTTTAGCTACTTTTTTTTGTTTTGTTGCTTTAAAATTTGTATGATAAGCAATTTCCTGAATTTTTTTTTTTGGGAAAAATTGGGCTTTTTTTCTGATATAAAAATTGTATGATAAGCCTTTTCCCTTATAAAGACTACAAACTCGAAGGATACTATTTCTAACTACTATGTTAGTCTCTGAACTAACGTTATAATAAAAACCACCACTTCAGGAAAAAAAAATTTGTCTGCGAAAACTGTAATTTTTTGACAATATGGTAGTGAATGCAGCGTTTTTTTTTCACAGGGAAGAATCAAGATTTTCTATGGTAAAAACAACTTATTTTCTGATTTTCTGTAATTTTTTGCGTACATTTCTGCGTGTCAATTTTCCTAAGGTATCCCAATACCCAGTTTAATCTGCAATTTTGATGTTTTTTTTTGTTTTGATTTCCTATTAGTAGTTTCAGTGAAAATCCCAATTTTAAAGCAAAACACACAAAACAAAAATTCGATCTTCGGGAAATTGTTTGTCATACTTTTATTTGGATGAAACTTGCAGTCATGCTGTTTTTTTACAATTTTTCTTTCATGGATTAGAATGGGATTGCATGACACGCTTTTTTCCATAATTGCAAGTCGTAAGAAAAGCTTTTTTTCTCAACTTTCGTGTTTTGATAAGCCTCCCTTTCACAGCAGAGTTTTTCTGTGAGAAATTTTTGGTGTGAAAATTTTGCTGATATTTTAGTTAAATAGATAGGAAGAAAAGCGACACGCTATAAAAAAAAACTTTTGTTAATTGGATCGAAAACTAGCTAACAAGTTTCCTTGTTCAAACCAGGACAGACATTTGAAAGCTATATTCCGGAATAAGGAAGCTCTAAATTTCATCTGCTTTTCAAAAAAATTTGATCCATTGATGAAATTTTTGTTGGCTACAACCACTAATGGAACAATTTTACATCCATCGTATTTTTCAAATAGTGTTTTTGTCATCAAACTAAATGCTGAGCAAATGTATTGTAAAATTTTTCGTGAAAAAATATAATTGAACATTTTGAATTTTTCACAATGATTTTTGCTGGCCGGCAGAAAAAACGAAAACTGCTAAGATTAGAAGCGTTTTTGTTGGGATTCTAACACGCTACATATAAATTCCCCAATTGTTTTGCTGAGGAACATCATTCGCCTAACTTCAAACATTTTTTTTACATGTTTTATTTCGTATTTGTCGTCTTAAAGTCATGTCGTTTTAATGTCAAGTCGCCTTATCGTCTTGTCGTCATTTTTACTCAGCACCATTTTAATCATTTTAATTGTTCACAAAAGTCGAAAAGATTTTCTAAATATGTTTTTTTATAGCATGTGTGTGCTTTCAAACGTATTATTGTGTATGCAAAGATTTGTGAATAGAGCACATTTTTTTTCTGGCTAAATACTTCATAAAAAGCACTCTGCTCACAAAAAGCGAACTCCGTTGCCAAAAAGTAACAAGCATATTCTGTGTTTACCAAGCTTTTGTACGCATTTTCATGACCATTATTTTCAAATCAAAAAACGCCTTTTTTTGTAGCGTGTTTTTTAAATTGCGTGGTTTTGATTTGAAAAAGTTTAGGAGACGAGCATTGCAATTCAATCGTCTAATGCCCTCGTTTTACTAAAATTATTCATGGCATTGATCTTTCTAGACCTCTGAACTTTTAAGGACCTCGTTTTTTGTGATAATTATTTCTGGCATTGATCTTCCTAGACCTCTCACTTTTTCTTGATTTTGATGCGCTTTCTGACTTGATACATCTCAGTTTGGGAAGAAGCAAGTGTTGATTGTTTTGAGAATAAATTCAAATTGCGTAAAGTGAGAATACACTTTAAGATAATTGAGGAAAATTACCTGAACTCACCTCAAGTTTACCTTCACTAAAACTTGTGGGGGAACTACCTTAAATTTGACCTCAACTCACCTCAAGCTTACCTTCATTAAAACTTGTGGGGGAACTACCTCAAGTTTTACATTAACTCGCCTCAAATTCACCTTGAAAATTTAGCTTAACAGTATACTCACCTTAACAGTTAAGGTAAAATTTTTAGCTGAGCGTTATTCTTTCACTTTTTTAACTTATTCCTCTTTTTCTTTTTTATGCCCACTCGGTTGGGCTGAAGAAATAGAGAAACATTTTGGCTTACAACACAATTTCGCCAATATTCTCAAAGCATCTTTTTGTTACAGACTTGCGATAACAGATTTACGATATTTATTGCAGAAATACTACAAAGCATCACTGACTACAATAACGGGTAAAGCAAACCAAGTATTTTTTTTAGTAAAAGATATCATCTCTCTTTGTATCCACTTGGCTTTATGAAATATTTTATTAAAACGCAGTTTCCCTCAATCATCAGATATAACTCTTCTAAATTATGCTCTGAGTTTTTGCCCTATTCATAATTGAGTTGCAAAGAATTAACAACATTTTTCACTGAAACTCTCAGCAGAATGTTGAAAAAATATATATCAGATGACAACCAATCATAGGTGAAAGATAAAAAAGACCAATTACCAAAATGTTCGAGTAGAGATGTTACAACCCTCTGCATTTGTTTAGAGGTCAATGAAGTGTGAAGAGTTCTCTTTCATAAGCGATGGGTAAAGTTGCCACTGAGAAGCAGACCTTCTGCAGCTGTTGTCTCAAACCCTTCGAGAAACCCAAGAGGCTTCCATGTGGTCACTGTGTCTGTGCTCACAGAGACAACCAAAATTGCGCCGCACAAATTTTATCCTCACAAGACCGGTATGATAACAATCAGGTGGAAAAGCTTGAAACTAAAAAACTTTAAGAAGTCAACAAAAGAAACATAAGATATGAAAGATAACTTTTCCTTAATAACCAGTTCGAGTTAATGTAGCATATAGTTCACTTTTTCAAAACCATCACCTGAAATATCATCTGAAGTTATCACTAAGAAATCAGGTGTTTAGACCACACTTTTCACACTCTTTTTCTATGCTTATTTTGGTGCTAGTTGTTATTTGAGTTGTTTTAAAAATAAAAACACAATGAGAGGTTAATGGGATTGTTTTCGGAAAAAAACAAGGAAACAAACATTCTGTTCAAGCAAAAGAAAATGACAATTTTTTTTTCGGTAAAGGGAAAAAATTCTGTCCAGAATATCCAGAAAATATGCCCGGGTTGATCTCCATGAACCGAAAATGCTTATCATACAATTCCATACACCATTTGTATGGAAAAATGCTACTCCTACATTTTTCATACAATAAAAAAAATTCATCGAAAAAAGATTAAAACTAGTTTCTGCGGCTATTTGATCCAAATAAAACAGTCTGGTGATGAAAAAAAAAACTACGTTTTTTTTTGGAAAAAAATAGTTATCACACAACTTCCATATATGAAAATTGTATAACTAGCATTTTTTTGATGGCGACAAAAAAATTTTTCGAAGTAATATTGGAACTGCCCCAAAATATTTTTTGTTTTTTTAACCGCAAATCCAATTTTGTACTCAAACAAACATTTTCCAAAAATTTTTATGCAAATTTGTAATATTTTGTCAGCATAACATATTCCTGGATACACAAAAGTTTTTTTTTCACTGTTTTTTTACTGTTTTTTGGATAATTTTACTGCTCTAACTTTAAAAATATACATTTTTAAAAACGTTTGCCAAAATTTAAAAGTTTGGTGCTTTCAGTATACAGTTTGCGAGGAGTAATCTTACACAATTCAAGTGGTTTCCAATGCATTGTAAATGCTCGACGATCAACCCTTCGGTGACTCTAGTTTTGGTTGAACCATGGTTTTAGTCATTTGTGTTCGGTCACGAACACATCCCAAAAATTTTGAGAAATGAGGTTTCAAAAAAATCAAGTTTTTGGTTTTAGAAAAGATGCTTGTCTTACAATTTCAATATATCAAAAAGCGTATCTTAGAGTTTTCTTAATTTTTTTTGTTTCTATAAAATTGTACGAATTTTTACGATGCGCATTTTGTCATAAAGGAAATTGTATGATAATCCTTTTTGTTCAACCCGGTTGCAAAAAAAATCAACAAACTAAGACCAACAATTGGTTTAAATTAAAGTAGGAATAACTTAATTACTTGCCAGCAGGAGAATAACATGCAACTACAATCTTTACTAATCTTCACATCTCTAGGCTGCGAAACTCGCTGCAAACTGTCGAGCACTTTATACAGTTTGATTGCAAGACATATAACGCAAAAGCATAACAAAGGAAATCGGGCAAAACCTCAAATTTAATTTTTGAATCATGAATGGAACTACAAAGCAAATTCACCTAGTAGTCCGGTTGACCAAAAACGCTAGCCGTACAGTTTTCATATAAGGAAAATGCTGGTCCTACACTTTTCATGTAATTTTTTAAGTACACAAAACTTCATGAAAGGTCTTTTATTAGTGACTTTTCATATATGGAAATTATGTGACTAGCAATTTCCCATAAACCAAAAACAAAGTTTTCTTTTAATTCAATTTCTCAAAACTTTCGTGATGTGTCTGTGATCAAGGCATACTCAAAAATGCCATGCAAAGAAAGAGGAGGTATTAGCGCTTTTGAAAAAAAAATGTTATTGAGAAAAGGAAAAAATTCCGTTATTGTGAATCCAGGACTATTTTATTTGCACAAAAAATTAAAGAATTTGAGTACAAGAAGTTGAAAAAAAAATTTTCGAGGCAATTTCAAAAATTTGGCGGTCGAAAAGCTTGTAGTCATAATTTTCATATACTTCAAAACAAGAAAAAAACTTTTGAAAAAAATTCGATGACACCTTTGAGCAAAATGTATGAAGTTTGTTTGAACATTATTTTTCACAGACTTAGTTTATGGAATTGCATGATAAGCATTTTTGGTCTATGAAGGTCAACCCGTGTGAAGACAATTTGGTGTCAACGTTTATGCTTTCAGGCTAAATTGAAAACAAAAAAAAGAGTTGCTGTTGTGCCGCCCTTAAAACGACGCAAATGTTCTATTTTTAATTTTTTTTTCATAAAAATAACGACCTTGAAATTTCTGACTGCCTTTGAAGCCGACGAAAATGTTTTTGCTCGAAATTCTAAGAAATCGAATGCAGTTTTAAATTGAATTGAATACAATTTTTTGCATTTTTCCCTCCATCCCTCTATGCTCTATATTGAAACAAGACTACTCGTACCAGGGCAAAACCATGCATGTTCCAAATGCCTTTTAAGGTCTATGGAGCAGTAAAAACATGAAAAAAATTTAAAACTGGTGAGAAAAAAAAACATAAAATGAATTTTTTTGATAGAAATTTTGATTTTTTTTGTGAAAATCATCTTTCACACGTCAAATAAAATATAACTTGATAAGTTTTCCTTCTAGTAACAAATCAATAATGAAAAATCAGCTACTTTCAACCAATTTGGAAATATTTCTAAGACGGATTGAATCTCCGCTTACGCGTTAAAAGCGCGAAATGTATCGCGCGTTAATTGTCCCTGATTAGCCAAAATTGCAAGCCTCCATCTTCAAGCCTCCATAACTTTACAAAGAAGGCTCACGGGTAGAATATTTTTTATTTCAAGCTCACAAATTTTCCGTTACTTTCGTTTCTAAAGTCGTAACAAAAACAAACAGATTTTAGTTTGAATGCCAGCGGTTTGAAATTTTTTTTTTCTTAATAATTATTTGTTTTTTTTTATAAACTTTTGTGTTTTTTTATATACTTATATGTATATATATATATAACACGAAGCTAAATATTGTAAAACCCATTAATTTTAATTTCTTGTTCAAACTAAGTTTCATCCGGACAAAAAGGCAGGAAAAAATAATGATCCAAAGCTCTAATTTTTCAAAATTACTTGATCAGCAACTGCTTGTTTTTTCTTTGCACGGGTCTAGATTGAAGTTTTATGATCAAACAGTCGCAACAATTTTTTGGTAAATTAAGACATATCGCAACCAAGTTTGGTCATTTTCTAGACTCTGCAGACGGAAGGAATGTGTGCGTGACCGGCGCCACCGAAGAAAAAATAATCGCGACCAGGGTTTCCGACCTATTTTCAGCAAAAATTGGTTTCTTTCGGCCGTCTCAAGTAAATATTTGAACTACCCTACGAATCATGTGCGGATCTAAGATTTTCTCGAGACAGGACGTCGGATCTTCAAAATTTTTAGAAACTTTTGACCAAAAAAATTGCGTTTTTTGGCGCGCGATTGCCTTCAAAGTTAGTATATATTAGCGCCACAGCCACTTTCAGAAAAAGTTAAGGTTTTTATTGGCCCAAAATGAACTTCAGAAATTAAAAGAAAGGAGTACCCCCCGTAAGTTGTAATGCGGCTGAATTTTTTGACAATGCCGCGACTTGTTTTTCGACCATAATGGCTAGCGTGGTAGGTTTGGAGGTCGTCAATATGAGTTTGACACCCCGTAAGTGGTAATACGGCTGAATTTTTTGACAATGCCCCGACTTGTTTTTCGACCATAATGGCTAGAGTGGTAGGTTCGGAGGTCTTAGCTAAGAGTTCGACTCCTGTAGGTGGTAATGCGGCTGATTTTTTTTGACAATGCCCCGACCTATTTTTTGACCATAATGGCTAGCGTGGTAGGTTTGGAGGTCGTCAATATGAGTTTGACACCCCGTAAGTGGTAATACGGCTGAATTTTTTGACAATGCCCCGACTTGTTTTTCGACCATAATGGCTAGAGTGGTAGGTTCGGAGGTCTTAGCTAAGAGTTCGACTCCTGTAAGTGGTAATGCGGCTGACTTTTTTGACAATGCCCCGACCTATTTTTCAACCATTATAGCTAGCGTGGTAGGTTTGGAGGTCGTAGATAAGAGTTTGACACCCCGGAAGAGGTTACGTGGCTAAATTTTTCGACGATACCTCGACTTATTTTTCGACCATAATGGCTAGCATGGTAGGTTTGGAGGTCGTAGATAAGAGGTCGACTCCTATAAGTCGTAATTCGGCTGAATTTTTTTAACAAGGCCCCGACTCAATTTTCGACCATAATAGCTATCGTGGTAGCTTTGGAGGTCGTAGATAGTAGTTCGACTCCCCGTAAGTGGTAAGGCGGCTGAAATTTTTGACAATGCACGACTTTTTTTTCGACCATAATGGCTAGCCTGGTAGGTTTCAAGGTCGTAGATAAGAATTCGACTCCTGTAAGTCATTATTCGGCTGAATCTTTTGACAATGCCCCGACTCATTTCTCGACCATAATGGCTAGCGTGGTAGGTTTGGAGGCCGTAGATAAGAGTTCGACTCCTGTAAGTGGTAATGCGGCTGAATTTTTTGACAATGCCCGACTAATTTTTCAACCATCGCCACAGAGATACGGCAAACACTGTCCAAGCTATGGGTTTTTGGTTGCGGATTTAACAACAGTTCGATCGACAAACTCCAAAATAGACATGACGCGGACCTCTACCCGGGTAATATGCTCAAGATTGTGTCTCTGTTTTGAAAATTAGAACATATAATGTTGATAATCTGGAAACAATTTAGACCAGAAATGAGAACAAAAATGATTTCAGCGAGTGCCCTGTGACTTCATGTCGCGAACAAGTGCCCCCCTCCATAACTAATGATATCAACTCGCTTCCGGACGTGCAAGTAGATGCAATGGGACACCCTCTGACTACTCTGGAAGAGAAAGAGAGAGTGGAAAGACAGAACACATCGAGCACCGCACGTGAGAATCTACTCTATTATGACTACACTCATAATTAGCTTTTTTGGCAAGAATTTGTTCATACAAATTAATTAGTCAGTGGAAAAGTGCAAATGAAAATAATGGCACGAACAATTCTTAGTTTTTCTACATGGAAATTTTGCGATCAAAGGAACGAGTCCATTTTAAAAAAATCTTTACGAAGCGAAATCGAATTTAGAGAAAAGAATTAATCTTTTGCCAAAAAGTTTGTTTTGTGAGCAAATTTTGTTATTTTTTGGGTGCATAGCGTAGTCCAGATTGCCACAAGTTTTAAGGTAGCGCTTTTTCTGTTTTTCTTGATGGTTATTTCAATAATCACTCCAAAAGTATTTTCCCCAAAAAGTTTGTTTTGTGAGCAAATTTTGTTATTTTTTGGGTGCATAGCGTAGTCCAGATTGCCACAAGTTTTAAGGTAGCGCTTTTTCTGTTTTTCTTGATGGTTATTTCAATAATCACTCCAAAAGTATTTTCCCCAAAAAGTTTGTTTTGTGAGCAAATTTTGTTATTTTTTGGGTGCATAGCGTAGTCCAGATTGCCACAAGTTTTAAGGTAGCGCTTTTTCTGTTTTTCTTGATGGTTATTTCAATAATCACTCCAAAAGTATTTTCCCCAAAAAGTTTGTTTTGTGAGCAAATTTTGTTATTTTTTGGGTGCATAGCGTAGTCCAGATTGCCACAAGTTTTAAGGTAGCGCTTTTTCTGTTTTTCTTGATGGTTATTTTAATAATCACTCCAAAAGTATTTTCCCCAAAAAGTTTGTTTTGTGAGCAAATTTTGTTATTTTTTGGGTGCATAGCGTAGTCCAGATTGCCACAAGTTTTAAGGTAGCGCTTTTTCTGTTTTTCTTGATGGTTATTTTAATAATCACTCCAAAAGTATTTTCCCCAAAAAGTTTGTTTAGTGAGCAAATTTTGTTATTTTTTGGGTGCATAGCGTAGTCCAGATTGCCACAAGTTTTAAGGTAGCGCTTTTTCTGTTTTTCTTGATGGTTATTTTAATAATCACTCCAAAAGTATTTTCCCCAAAAAGTTTGTTTTGTGAGCAAATTTTGTTATTTTTTGGGTGCATAGCGTAGTCCAGATTGCCACAAGTTTTAAGGTAGCGCTTTTTCTGTTTTTCTTGATGGTTATTTTAATAATCACTCCAAAAGTATTTTCCCCAAAAAGTTTGTTTTGTGAGCAAATTTTGTTATTTTTTGGGTGCATAGCGTAGTCCAGATTGCCACAAGTTTTAAGGTAGCGCTTTTTCTGTTTTTCTTGATGGTTATTTTAATAATCACTCCAAAAGTATTTTCCCCAGTTTTGCATAAGCTTTTGTTGTTTGGGCTCGAAAAAGTTCATCCAATTTTATGAATTAAAAAAATACAATACAAAAATTGAGAAAAGACAGAATCACAGACGGTTCATGCATTTTTTTTAAAAGAAAAACGTTCATGAAAATTGAGAAATTCGATCCACCTTCCCGAGTCGAGATTTTTCACCTAATTTGAAGCTAGATTGAGCGGTTTGAGCGGTTTTGAACGGTTTGAGCGGTTTGAGCGGTTTATCTAGAAAAACCGCTCAAAACCGTTCAAATCTTAAGAATTCGACCCTCTGCCAACCCAAATAGTCCCCCCTTTTTACTATTGTGAGATGTCCATTAAGGCTGACTGACTCTAAAATTTTTCTAATGGCGCTAAAATTTTTCTAATGGCGCTAAAATTTTTCTAATGGCGCTAATGGCGCCGATATAAACTAACTTTGAACGCTTTTTTTCGTATGTTTTTTCAAACAACCAATTCTTGGTATGAAAGTTTTGGGTAACTTAACAATGGGTCTTAACAATGATTTATAAGAAAAAAAGTCGACTTTTTCGAATACTCAACCCACCCCTCTTCTTGGGAGGAGGAGATTTTTTAGTAGATCCAATATATTCGCAGTTTTTTGATTTCATCTCTCCTAACTATATTTTGCAACAAAATCGTTTCAATTTCAAAAAATAAATTAAACTAAACTCGTTAATGACAAGTTATTTATAGTTATACGTGGAGATTTCAAAACACGCTTCTCTCAGTCATCTCTCATTCATCACTAATAATACCCCTATAAACGATTCTTTTGCTATAGGCAGTTAAAAATTGCCACATTTTGATGACAGTTTGCATTTTTACTGCATTTGGAGCTGAACAGGCGCATACATGTATATCAAACGGATGAATTTATTGAAGCTGCAGTTTTTGAACTAGTTTTTCCCAAATTGGGTTGAATTTAGGCAACAAATAATGAGGACAAAAATTGCTCAGAAAATAACAAGAAGTTCCAGGAGGCTTTTTTGAAAAGCTTAGACTCACAATGAAATCCCTAAAATACCTCCTTTCAATTGGTTCATTACCAGGCCAAACTGTGCACTGGATAGGCGCACAATTTTGTCTCTGTATGTTCCTGGATTCGATAGACAAGTCTTTAAATTTGTTCTAACATGTAAGTGGATTCCACTAACAAAATTGCAGTGGATTCCGCGTGCAAATACCTGTGACGTAAATTTTGTCGCACGTTTGTTTTGCTGTGGATTCGGTAACAGTTCAAGGTCAGATGAATCTTTTTGTTTGATTAATTTTGAACTACAAAAAAGTGCCTGTTTCAGTTATGTCATTTTGGGTCCTAACTTTGCAAAGAAAAAGATGATAAGGTTCAGGTTAAATTCTAGTATCATCATAATTTTTTGTCCAAGTTTAACCCAATTAAAAAAACGACTTGAAAATTTGCAGTTTCCAAAACTTTTTGTGCTGTTGCCTTAAGGCAGGATTGTATGAGCGTGAGCAAAGAAAACCATCGAGCTGAAACAAATGTCAATTCAGATTGGCAATTTCAAACTGTCTTTAGTAATGAGAAAAGGCTCCGATATTATAAACACTGTTGTAAAAAGAGACAGTTTACAAACAAATGTTCTTAAAACACCATATAATTCGAAGGGTACTTTGAAATACAACTGAGGAAAATATAAGCATCTCTCCTAACATTACTTTACAACAAAACGTTTCAATTTCAAAAAATAAAGTAATTTAAACTCGTTAATGACAAGTTATTTATAATTATACATGGAGATTTCAAAACACGCTTCTCTCAGTCATCTCTCATTCATCAATAAAAGTACCCCTGTAATTGATTCTTTTGCTATAGGCATTTAAAAATTGCCCCATTTTGATGACAGTTTGCATTTAACTGCATTTGGTGCTGAACAGGCGCATACACTTATGATGTAAATCAAACGGATAAATTTATTGAAGCTGCAGTTTTTTAATTGGTTTCTCCCAAATTGGGTTGAATTTAGGCAACAAATAATAAGGACAAAATTTGCTCAGAGTTTAACAAAAAGTATCAGGAGGCTTTTTTGAAATGTTTAGACCCACAATTAAATCCTTAAAATACCTCCTTTCAATTGGTTCATTACCAGGCCAAACTGTGCACTGGATAGGCGCACAATTTTGTCTCTGTATGTTCCTGGATTCGATAGACAAGTCTTTAAACTTGTTCTAACATGTAAGTGGATTCCACTAACAAAATTGCAGTGGATTCCGCGTGCAAATACCTGTGACGTAAATTTTGTCGCACGTTTGTTTTGCTGTGGATTCGGTAACAGTTCAAGGTCAGATGACTCTTTTTGTTTGATTAATTTTGAACTACAAAAAAGTGCCTGTTTCAGTTATGTCATTTTGGGTCCTAACTTTGCAAAGAAAAAGATGATAAGGTTCAGGTTAAATTCTAGTATCATCATAATTTTTTGTCCAAGTTTAACCCAATTAAAAAAACGACTTGAAAATTTGCAGTTTCCAAAACTTTTTGTGCTGTTGCCTTAAGGCAGGATTGTATGAGCGTGAGCAAAGAAAACCATCGAGCTGAAACAAATGTCAATTCAGATTGGCAATTTCAAACTGTCTTTAGTAATGAGAAAAGGCTCCGATATTATAAATACTGTTGTAAAAAGAGACAGTTTACAAACAAATGTTCTTAAAACACCATATAATTCGAAGGGTACTTTGAAATACAACTGAGGAAAATATAAGCATCTCTCCTAACATTACTTTACAACAAAACGTTTCAATTTCAAAAAATAAAGTAATTTAAACTCGTTAATGACAAGTTATTTATAATTATACATGGAGATTTCAAAACACGCTTCTCTCAGTCATCTCTCATTCATCAATAAAAGTACCCCTGTAATTGATTCTTTTGCTATAGGCATTTAAAAATTGCCCCATTTTGATGACAGTTTGCATTTTAACTGCATTTGGTGCTGAACAGGCGCATACACTTATGATGTAAATCAAACGGATAAATTTATTGAAGCTGCAGTTTTTTAATTGGTTTCTCCCAAATTGGGTTGAATTTAGGCAACAAATAATAAGGACAAAATTTGCTCAGAGTTTAACAAAAAGTATCAGGAGGCGTTTTTGAAATGTTTAGACCCACAATTAAATCCTTAAAATACCTCCTTTCATTTGCCTCATTACGAGGCCAAACTGTGCTTTGGATAGGCGCACAATTTTGTGTCTGTATGTTCCTGGATTCGATAAACAAGTCTTTAATTTTGTTCTAACATGTAAGTGGAATCCACTAGCAAAATTTCAGTGGATTCCGCGTGCAAATATCTGTAGCTCAAAATTTTGTCGCACTTTTACTTTGCTGTGGATTCCGTAACAGCTCAAGGTCAATTGACTCTTTTCGTTTGAATAATATTGATTTACAAAACAGTGAGCCGTTTCAATTATGTCATTTTGGGTCCTAACTTTGCAAAAAAGGGCTGATAGTTTTCACGTTAATCTCTAGTATCATCATCTTAATTTGTTCAAACTTAATCCAATTTAAAAAACATACTTGAAAACTTGCAGTTTTCAAAATTTTTTATGCTGTTGTCTTATGGTAGGATTGTATGAGCGTGAGCAAAAAAACTATCGAACTGAATCAAATGTCAATTCATATTGGCAATTTTAAACTGACTATAGTAATAAGAAAAGGCTCCGATATTATAAATACTATTGAAAAAACAGACCGTTTGCAAACAATTGTTCCTAAAACACCATATAATTCGAGGGGTACTTTGAAATACAACTGAGGAAAATATAGTTGTTATGTTGAAATTTTGTTGATGCTTTCATCGAGCAGGCTCGTTGAAATTCAAACAAAGCTGTTGAAATTAAATTAGAAAAAAGCAATTACAAATGATTGAAAAATCCGAAATTGGCGCGTTGAAATTGAAGGTTTATACTGCTAACAGTCTGAATGAATTGAAACTAAACTATGATCAGGAATGTTGAAATAAAAGCAAAAGTATTTTAAAACGACAAGTTTTAAACCAAATTGTGAACTAGACAAGAAATGACCATAGTTGAAGATATGATGATTTTGTAACCAGTTTAAAACTAGTATTAATAACCAACTATGTTCTTTGTAAAACTATCTCTATAAAATATATAGAGATATAATAAAACCACTAATAAAAAATTTGAGAACATAATTGCTCGCGCACTAACAAACACCAAAGCTTACGAGCCCTTTTGCAAGAAATTTAACCTCTTTTGACTAACATTTCACTTTTTACACCTAAGGAAAGAGACATTCACTCCTCACACGAAAGCGTGCTGAAGACAAAACCAACCCACACAAACACACTTTATAATTTCATACAAAAACATATTATCACCAACTCACCAGCCAATAACCCACAGCATCGTTTTTTGTTTATTATCTCAAAGTACACATCACCATATTTCATAAACTTCACATATTGCATTAAATTTACTAAATTACATGCATCCTCCGTAATTATGTTCCCATCAGACAAATGTATTAATTTCTGCCCACTGACTAACACTTTACGAGTCGGCGACGCCCGTCCCATAATAGTTGCCCACGAACAAATACAGCCTAATGAAACCACACTAATCGAGCACATTTACAATACTAAATTTATCATAAGCTAAATAACTGATTCATAACATAAATCATGAGTTTTAAACTCTTGCCGAAGAAGTAAACACCATCAGAGCACTTGAATTTTTTTTGGCCTCTGCTTCGCACTAAAAACGTAATTCGCATGCTTGCAAAGCTTCCAGTAACATCGGACACAATCAAGATTAACTTCCCCCATGGATTTTTCCCCGATACTGAACCCTCGTATGTATGAATTTTTTTATTAACACTAACATATAAAACATGACACTCACCATTACTACATTTGTTTTTCACATTTTAGATTTCACCAGTCACTCATCTAAAAGATTAAAACCCAAGTAAGAAATCACAAACCATTTTTTACAAAGTTTCAGTTTTAATCTAGCAACAAAAATGGATTATTCAAGTGCAGTAAATTTCATAACAAATGCGAGAAATTAATAATTCTGTGGTATAATGTTAAAAATATGGAGCAGTAAATTAATAAGATGGAAATGATTTATTAGGAACAAACTTTTTAGGTTTGCTTCTCTTATAACTGAATATTTATCCTTTACTCGACCACATTTTACACACTCTATCCACCAAACTCGCACAACTCCCCAACGTAGCTTTGTTTAATGTTTGAATTTCAAGCTTCAGCAATAACTGATAACAAATATAATTTGTTTTCACGCGTTTCAAATCTTCCTTTGACCCGGCTGTAGGAATTATGAGCAAGCTTAAACTGAACAACGCAGCCTACTAATAAAACAAAACCAACACATGCATTAAAAAGTCTTACGGTACTCAGACGAGATGAAACCCAGATTAAAACTGGACAAACTATTCCTTTGAAACCCACTATCATGATTATTGAAATCACTTAAAACAACAAAAAAGTTAAGAAACCCAAAACATAACAATCCGTTTTTGATGCAAGGATAAAATCAAAACAAAAAAAGAAAAACACCTGATAGAAGAGAACAAAAAGTTGAACACAAAAAGTGATTCTGCTCAAAGAGACGGTAATATCATGCTCCATCACCTGGCTTCGCCACCCAATAGGATGTCTTGAGCATGCTCTATAGCTGGCTTAACTCACCGCGCTACAACCACGCTGACACACACTCAATTTTTGAATTTTTGACGAGATTTGCTCTAGGGTGATCGACTCTTTAAAATAACCGAAACTATATAAAACGCTTTTGCGAAAACAACTAATGAATATCATAACTAAAACTTATCTCACTTACAAATTATAGATTTATTATGCAAGTAAAAATATTTCTACGAGCCAACGGAACGAGCAGCAAAAGAAGATGTAAATTCGATTACACTCCAACTCTGAAATGGCAAATCTAATAGGTTTGTTGCCGTAGTCTCTGCCCTCAAAGGATTTACAGTATGGTCCCAAAATCGCAGCAAAGGAAAACCATTGAAACAGACCAATGGCCAACTCGATGTTGATCTCATATACAGATCCTAGTCACTTGGCACTTCACACAGAAAGGTTAAATGTCAGCTTGCATGTAGTCTCGCTCTTGCTTAACGAAATCAACACATCGTTGCATCAATCTGAAATCTTGACATAATCACTCAAGATGATCTATGATAAACGAGACACACTTTTGGAACATGAACAACTCTTCTTCTCTCTACGAAGACAACTACATCTCTCCTTTCTTCACGCAGTCACTGCTTCAGAAGAACACTGTTCCAAAAAACCAAGAAATCTCTCCATCCCTCACTATTAAAAACAATTTGAAAACTAAAAACTCTCTAAAACCAAAATGGGTGGAACCAGTTTGAAACTAGTGTTTATAAACAACTTTTTTGATAAAACTTTCTCTATAAAATATAAAGAGGTATAAAAAAACCACTAATAAGAAAATTGATAACATAATCGCTCGCGCACTAATAAACACTAAAGTTACACCACAGGAAAAAGACATTCACTGCTCGCACGAAATCATGCCAAAGACAAAACTAACCCGCACAAAAATGTTTATAAAGTTATACAAAAACATTATATAATCATCTCTTTAAACTACTATTAACTAACCAATCATAGTCCATAACTAACACTGACAATTATTTGTAGTGCTGAAACTACTTGCAGTTTCAGCACTAAAACAATCTGAATATAACTTGACAATCTGAAGACAGCTGGTCTCCTTTGGAACAAGTTCAATATATCTAACCCGCAAAGACCATTGTACACTAGATCTATTGAGACTAGGAGATATAAGAGTAAGATTAGGATCGGTATTAGACTAAGAAGTTGCACGAATCTATCCGGCCGAAAATAAGATAGTGTGACGAGCAGACGGTGTACCTTATCTGAAGTTACTCTGTGAAAGACCACTCCAAGTGAAAACTCAATTTTTTAAAGCGCTTCAGTGAATTGAGATCATTTATGGGTCAAGACAACTTAAAGAAAAACGGTTGTGCTAACTTTGCTATTTTGTTAGAAGTGGCGGCGATGAGCAGCGAAGTGTCAAGAGGACCTCAGAGTAGTAGTCTTGTCGAAGACATCAACGGGAACACGTTCAAGAAAGTGCTGATTGTGGGCAAGACAGGGACAGGCAAAAGTAGCCTGTGCAATGTGGTGGCAGGCAAAGCTCACGACGCAGACCTGTTCCCAGTTTCCGCCGAGGCACAAGGGTGTACCGGCACAACCACCTTTGGCAACGTCTTTTTTAATGGAATCAAGGAGACGCCCGTATCCCTAATTGATACAGTGGGCTTCGACGACCCCGAAAGGGATACGGACGCCACCATAATCTCCGACCTCGTGATCAAACTAAGAACCAAATGCGATCATGTGAACCTCTTTGTAATAGCTGTGAATGGACAAGAGCCTCGGCTAGATGGGAGCCTCATCGGAATGATTCGGATTTTTGAAGGCATGTTTGGTGCGAAGTTTTGGTCGCAAGCTGTGATAGTTTTTACTCGGCTACGCATGGATTCCGGAAGCATTGAATCACGAAAACGAATCACCAAACAAACCGACGCTGATTTGGCGGCCAAATACATAAAGTCCGTGCAGGATAAGTTTCCCAGAGGGAAGGGACTCAAATACCACATAATAGACTCGTGCAGAGACACTAGTAATCGGGAGGAGGAGGAGGCCTTCCAGAAGGCAATGCAGGAGCTGTGGAAGATGGTAGAAAGGGCGCCCCCCCTGAACACAGAAGATGTGAAGAAGGTGGAGACAGAATCGAGGAAACTGAAACGGGAAATAGAAGAGAAGGAAAAGCGGCTGGCAGAAATGGAGCAGCAGAGAAGAAAGGAGGAAGAACGCAGGTGAAGCGCATGTTTCTTCTTTTAAAAAAATACAGTTTGATTTTGATACTTCTGAAAACTAACAAAAGGACCGAGGGTCAAATACCTGAGTTTGGGGTCAGTCCTTTGATAGTTTTATAATAAAGAATGTTTTCCAATCACTTTTTCCATGTGTTATTCAACTTACTTCCCTCAATTCAGTTCGGATTGATTTACTTTGCCGCTTACGCTTTAAAGGCTCTAGGGCAAACATCTGCCATGCCACACTTACTAACTTATAACATAATAACTTGACGTCTCCCAATTTGAAGGCAATAACCAGCTCAAACTTTTGTATATAGTGGCCCTCTGTTAGCAAGCTCGAAACTACGGATATTACTATTAATTTGATCAAAACAGCATCTTTTCTAAATCAGCTCCTCACAACTTAACAAAAACTGATGAAATGTGATGCCCTGGAAATCAACTTCTACCAAAATGTGTAAGAACACTTGGTCAAAAGCTTCGTAAAGGACAAATTTTGTCTGGATAAAAAATGACCCGAGCACAAACATTCCGTTTTAATGAGCTTTGACTGAAATATAAACAAGTAGTCTCGATTTTCTACCTTTGATTTTGCAGGATACAAATAAGATTCTCTGCCTCTTTTTGCACTGTCATTTCCACGAGGAAAACTGTTTCAGACAACAGGAGCTGAGAGAGATGGAAAGACAATTCTCGCAGCAGATGGAAACTTTGAAGCGAAAAACTGAAGAAGATCGTGATAGAATGGAGAAGAAACACGTGTCGGAGTTGGCGAAACTGGCCGCGGAAAGAGAGAAGGTTCGGGAAATGTTAGAGGCGAAAGTTGAGAAGCTGAAACAAGACATGACCAATCAGCTGATGAAGAAACAGGCAGAACACGACAAGTTGCAAAAACAGTTCGACGACCAAAGCAAGAAGGACAAACAGGCGCTTGATGACAAACTCGATAGAATTCAGAAACAGCAAGAGGAGCTGGAGGCGAAGTTGGTAACTGAACAAAACAATTCCAAGTTGGCGGACCAAATTGAGCAGCTGAAGTTGCAGCAGCAAAAGATGGAAGAGCAGTTCAAACGAGAGAGGGAGGAGCAAGAGGCGAAGCTGAATGCAAAACAGGAGCAGATTAAGAAGCAGGAGCGGGAAGTGGAGGAGAAGTTTGAGAGACAGAAGGCGGAGGAGAGAAAGAAGTTGGAGGCGAGAGTGGCGGAGGCGGAGGAGAAGTTGAGACAGCAGCAGAGTGTGGCAGCTGCCAAAGCACTGGCAGAGCAGAGACAGAAAGAGGAACTGGCCAACCAAGGTAAACAGATGTGCCATTATAGTTTAATTCATTCGTCATGCTGTTCTGTTCGTCTCTTCAATTAGATTACAGACAATTTGAGCTCATCTAAATGTGGCATGGAAGTCATAAAGTCATTTCTGGCATCGACACAGATCCATTCTGATAATATTATTTGTGAATCATACACTCTTCATTTATCAGCTGCAGTTTTCAATTTATTTCAATTGTTGGCATGAGAATGAGGTTATAGGACAAAACATCGCATAAATAAAAAAAAGAGCAGCTTTGAAGAGATCAATTTTTAAATCAAGAACAATACTGCTCGTATCAGGGCAAAGCCCTGAATGGTCCGACTGCCTTTTCAGGTTTATCGAACAGTTTTAACATAAAAAAAATAAATATAGTTTTAAAAAATGAAAAAAAAAATTCTGAAATTTGAACTTTTTTTTATGAAATCATCCCCCCACACGCCATATAAAGCTTAAGAGAATTGATTTCGCTCAATGTAACAAATCAATTGTGGTAAATAAGCTTCTTTCAACCAATTTGGAACAATTTCTAAGTCGGATTAACTCTCCTGTTACGCGTTAATAGCGCGAAATATATCGCGCGTTACTGGTCACTAAAGGGCCAAAATGGTAACTTTTAAACCCACATAACTTTACGGAAAATGATCACAGGTAAAATATCTTTTCAAGTTTAAGCTCAAGACAACAACACCTTTTGAATGATATGAAAAAAATTCCGTCAAAAATGGCTAGTTAGTAAGTGTCATGAGGCGACCTTCGGTACCTCAATCTCAGTAAGTCGAAATTTGTCTGAAGAAAAAAACCCACCCCGAGCACAAATACTCCGTTACTTTCGTATCGAAAGTCGGAACAATAAACAAAGAGACTAATTAATTGAGAGGAATATCTAAAAGAATAAAAATATGTACAAGCTGATCCATTAAGATGCCGAAATTATTTAAAAAAAGAACGTAGATTTTCAAAATGAGTAAGAAATGAACGTGGCTTGGAAGTTTATGTAGAAAGGTGGTGTGTTGTTTCAGCTCAGTGGAAGAAGACTGCGGAGACAATGTTGAGAGGATCAGAAGGGAAGGGCACACAGAAGACAGCAGAGGAGATCATAAATGCCTTAATGAATGCAGACCCTAAGAGCAGTTGGTTCATCTATGTCTATGATAAAAACGCTGACTATAGTATCAAGTGTAAAGATGGAGTGGGTGAGACAGCAGAGTGGAAAATGAACAAGACAGAGTACCCCTACAACATGCACATCTACACTGTCCCTAACTCAGACTACAACAGAAGAGATGCAACTGATGAGGAGAGGGAGAAGGCAGAGAGTGTGATGAAGAGTGTGTTGTCTGATATGGAGAGTGTAGTGGGTATGACGTCACAGAAGATGAGGGATGAGCTCATCACCCGTCTGGGCAGAAGTGGACTCAAGTGGATGTATGTTGGAGTGGGGACAGAAGGTGGATGTTGGTGTGATTATTGTATTTTGAGTCGCATTGTTTATACACGTGGCTCCATCTACGCTATTTACATCTACCTAGGAGACTAAACATGTAGCACCAGTGGACTACTTCAACCTCACTCCATTGGATACTCTAATACACACTCATCCACTCTACCATCCTTCTTCACTCCATCAACCCATCTCTCTCTCTCTCTCTCTCTACTCAAGTGCTATGCTATATTCTCAACACATCGTCACTATCTCTCATTTCCATATCGCCATCTCATGAACTACCACAATATATAACAACACTTTTAATGTTTTATGTTTCCCTGTTTTCCCACACACCGCCTTGCCTTGTTCACCAGTTAAGCCAACTTCACAGCCCATGAATTAAATTCATTTCTAATTCCTCTCATTGTCCAAATTACTTCAAATTGATCAAAATGAAATGACATATGTTTTCATTATTGCAGAGATGTAATTCATTTTCTCCAGCATTAGCCATCATTATTTTAATAATAGTCTCATCACCATTTTTAATGTTCATTTTTTCTGCTCATATGCAATCGCTTTGGAGCTCTGTAAAATATAATCTTTAATTCAAACCAGGTAAATTTGTCAAAATTCAAACTGACTTATTTTAACGCAAATAATTCTTTTCCTTTAAGCCCTGAGAGCAATTCTGATTCTAACTGAAAACATAATCTCGGGTTGCAATCAAACATAGATAAATTAAAAATTCATTTTCTTCAGCACTATTACAGAAAAAAATCAGCTTTGCTCTGAGATAAATCATAAATTACTGCTTCAGTACCTAAAGTTTTTTTCCCTGTCACTGATATGACATCTGCAACATTGATGATTGGAGAGGATGAATTCTGCAAAGTCAGTGTGCAAATTTCCCAAACAGTACTGGAGAAGAGCCTACTTATTTCAGCTATATATTCTATTGCTAAAAACCTATCTTAATTTCTAATTATAAATTAGTATTGGAGGTTTTTGCAGCGCCGGTGAAAACTCCAGTTGAAACTGTTGAAAAAACAAGAGAGAAAAAAACGTCTGAAGTAGCTGCACAAACTATACCAACAATTGAAGTTTTTCGTCTACAGTTTTCAGCCAGAATGACAAATTTATTCGAATTCCTGCCAAAGTTCCTTCAAGGAATACGATCGACCAAAAACTCGCTCTCTTGCGCAAGATTAACTTGCGACCAGGTCGTTTCCAACAAGTTCACTTGTTTCGAGGCAAAATTGTACAAACCACGAGCATCAAAGTTGCATGAAAAATTGACAACTATTGAGTCAACATGATTTAATTTTTTTTTGAAGCTACCCGGGTCGAGATCCCGCTCAAAAACCGCTCAAGATTAAAGCGGTTTGAGCGGTTTTCCAGCAAGATTTGAGCGGTTTGAGCGGTTTGGGCGGTTTGGACGGTTTTTTTTGGAAAAACCGCTCAAACCGCTCAAATCTTGCTTAAAAAACCGCTCAAAAACCGCTCATTTCTTGCGGTGATTTTTGAACGGTTTTTCAAGCAAGATTTGAGCGGTTTTTGAGCGGTTTTTGAGCGGTCTTCCCGGGTCGAGGTCCCAGACTCCCCCCCCGCCCCAACTTACCCCCCCCCCCCCCCAACGTGCCCCCTTAACGTATCCAACATCCAACAAACCCCCCCCCACCAACGTACCCCCTTAACGTATCCAACATCCAACAAACCCCCCCCCCCCACCAACTTACCCCCCCCCCCCCAACGTCTTGCAACCATTATTTGACCCATACAATCCAATTGAACATTTTATTGTCGGAAGTTTCATTGTCGGAATCAAAAGGATCGAAAAGTCAACGGAAAATTGTGATGGAGAGGGGTCTCAGGTGTCTCAGGTGGTACTTGAACAATTTCCACCGAGAGGGTGACCATTTGTTTCTGTTCCACGCGGTGGAGTTGCCGACCATCCCAGTGATCGGATCGGGAGAGTTGTTTTATAAAGAGACTCTGAACGAGATCATCAAAGAGAAACACGAAGAGATCAAAATCCTGACAGTATATTTGTTGTGTATGTCAAAAACATTGAACATATTCAGTAGAACAAATACAGCGAATATTAAGCTTACAGCAAGTCAGCATAGACCAACGGATAAGGCGTCTGACTTCGAATCAGAAGATTGCGTGTTCGAATCCCACCGTGGTCGACTTTTTAATATTAAATCTTGCGCGGTTTTTGAGCGGTTTTTTTAGATAAACCGCTCAAAACCGTTCAAATCTTGCGCGGTTTTTGAGCGTTTTTTTTAGATAAACCGTTCAAAAACCGCTCAAACCGCTCATTTTGAAGCAAGATTTTGAGCGTAATTGTCTAAAAAAACCGCTCAAACCGCTCAAATCTTGCTTCAAATTAGGTGAAAAATCTCGACTCGGGTAGTCATATGCAAACTTCTTATCTATATCAATGATCTTCCCAACTTACTACATCACAGAGAATGTTTTCTTTATGCCGATGACACTAATATTTTTGGAACACTCAACGAAATTAAAGAACTTGAAAAAGATTTGGAACTAAAATCAGAATGGCTGGAAACTAATAAATTTACAACAAACATAGGAGAAACATAGATTAAGATTACCAACAGAATAAAAAACTTTGAAAGTTTTACCTGGAACCAAAACACGGTAGAAGTAAAAAGTGCAGTTAAATATCTGGGATTAATTTTGAATCAAAATGTTACCTTGAACCAACATATTGAATCAGTAAAAAAATGAGGTGGGTTCATTTTCATTTTCTATCAAACAAGACAGTTTATCGGCTCATTTGTTCTGATAAGAGCTTGCAAGTAGTTTATACAACCCATTTACCAATATGGTGAATTAGTATACGGAGTTGGCAAAAAACCGCTTTAAAAAATTTGCAAGTAATAAGACGAAATAAAGTTGTTCACTTCATCATCTTCATGTTCTTAAAACAAGAATTAGACAAATCACTCGATACCACAGGAAGGATAAAATTAGTAACAACAGAAACAAATCAACACGAAATAACAAAAAATTAATTGTAGGAAAATGGGCACTATATAATTCTCTAATTCATTTCAATAAGAATATCAATAAAGAAAATTTAATTGAGCTGAAACAGTCTATAGACAACCTTATGCCTAAAATCAGAGATTCTTATTTAATTGGTGGCAACTAATTCTAAAAAAATCTCAAAACCTTTCTACCAGAACAATTAGTTGAATGTTTTTTTTTAATCATTGAACCATAAAGCGTACACACAAGAAAAACATCCTAGCAATTGAAATAAAGCAATTCAATTAAAAAATAATTTTCAGATAAAAAAAACTGTTCTTTTTTGTTACTTTTCTTTGCTCGTATTTATTTTTGAAAAAGTAATATAAACAGATGCAAAATAAGTGAACTGTAAGATTTCGAAATTCCATTTGTTTAGAAATCTTTTTTCTTTTTTTCCTGGATAAATGATATTACTTAGATTTAAAAATCAGGTCCAAAGACAAGAGCACTTAATAAAAAGTTCTCAGCAGCGCTTCAAAAGGTAAAATTACCTTCTGCGCTTGCTCAGGTTGGTGCTCATTCCTTGATAAGTTTTCTAATTTGTTGGTTTATTGCACAAATTGATTCATGTATTTATTTATTATACGAATCTGTAAAAAGGCAGCAGTATTCCTGGCCATTGTTTTTCATATTAAAGAACAGCTCTTTTTTAAGGAAAACTAAAGGTTTATATGCCTTGCATACAATCGAGAAACTTCACCTAAATATAAGAAAGTAATCAAATGTACAAAATTTGGAAAATCTGGTACAAACAATAAGATAAATTGAGCCTTAGTACAGGACGGTACTGAGACAGTTTAGGTTGTGATCAATGAAAAGAGGACAACTTGGTTTTCGGAAAGTCTCCTACTCTATCTGCACGACAACCGATCGTTTTTGTTTACATTGAACGCAGAGGCGAACGTTGTGAGATTTAATGAAGCACACGCTTGGCAAAGCGAGCAAAGTAATTGGTTAAAAAAACCCGAAAAAAAACATGCGAAGACAACTAGATCCAACGAAAATCAATTTGAGGGAAACAGTTTCGACGAAAGCCGTTTCAAACCGGCAATGGTTTGAGACGTTTGATGAGCAAAAACAAATAATTTTATAAATTATTCAGTCAAAGTTCGCCGCTGAAGCAAAATATAGATAAACGAATCCGATTTTGAAACAAGAAGCAGTTACGTTTCGTCGCGCTATTACCGATTTCCTACTTGGAGACCGCTAAGTTGGATTAACTAACTTTTTTAAGATGAAGTTCAGATGAATTCAAAAAGTACATACACACCTAAGTGCATTCATAAATTCATAGATATGCATGGAAGCCTTTCTGAAAATACTGCAGCGCTTTAAGACTTCTCCCTGAAAAAAAAAACAAGCAAAAAACATCAAGGCCTAAATAAGTGAATATCAATTCGTTATTTTGCGTTTAAGGAAAAGTTAAGACGTTTTAGAAGCGGATCGTTGCAACACATGGGATACAACAGAAATGAAGCAATGTAAACAATCAGACAAAAAATGAGATGAAAGCCACTAAGTGACAAAAGGAGTCAAAGAAATTGTTGCTAGACAACTCGAAAAATTTACATGTGCAAAAATTTCATACATTCGACTCATCGTGATCATCGAATTAACTAACACATTTCTAGAAAAACGATCACCGCCGTTGAATAACAATTCAAAAACCTTATGCCAGTGGTAACAACGCAGAAAATTTCCAGTGCTACAGTGATATTTTCAAATAAAGAAACACTTTTATTTGCGAGTTAGGTTAGAAAAAAAAGACGTTTCGTAATATTACACTAAGCTGATTACTAGCGTAAATCTTATTCAAATCTTATGCCAGTGGTAACAACGCAGAAAATTACCAATGCTACAGTGAAATTCCAAATAACGGAACACTTTTATTTGTGAGTTAGGTTAGAAAAAAAGACGTTTCGTATTATTACACTAAGCTGATTACTAGCGTAAACAACGCAAAATTTTATAACTAGGTCATGTTGGCATGAGACAAACCAACTAATTAAACGAAACAAAAAGATGACTAAAGTAAGAGTTGGTGAACTATCTAAGTGCAGAACGGCTTGAAAAATTAAGTTAAAATGGTCAAATATTCAAAATGAACCCACAATTTGGAAAGCAAGCAGACAAAAAAGAGAAAATAATGCTGCGACTATACAAGTTTTTCCAAAAAAGTCAGTTTCCACAAATCAAAAAAAAAATTGAACGGGGACCAAGCCTAGAAAGTGCGATCTTTATCTTTTGAGAAAACCAGAAAGTCTTGAGTAGTAGATGTTGAGGCTGATCAGGGGGGAGCATGGCAGACCCCATGTATTAAGATACCTTATAGATTTTGGGTTTGTCATGTTATGTATTAAGATAAGGAATAGAGTCTACAAGGTATTAAGATAGGGAATACCGATGGTAAGGTTTTGGGTTTTGTGTGATGGTAAGATAATGGTAAAAAAAATGTTTTTTTTTTTTGTATTTGTGTGGAAATGTTTAGTTTTTTCGCAAAAATCTTGGCGCGCGTTATCTAATTGGGAACAATTGATTGTTAATTACGTGTAAATTGTGGAATGAAGGTTTTTTGATTAGATTTTTGGTACATGGTAAGTCAATGGTGAGTTTTTGGGCAAAAACTTGGAACTTTAATCAAAAACAAAATGAAAATTTTTCAAAAAAAACTTCAAAACACAATATGATGTTGTAATTTGATCTAATAACAAACTATTAGATACTTTCACCTTCTATCTATCTGACTAAAATTCAGCGACTAAAATTCTTCTAGTAAACAGCGAACAATCCACAATTTTCAGACTGATATTTGGATTATCAGATAGCATGTAAGCATTAGATATAGCTCGAATTAGTTTAATTCGAACTTTGGTATTTGGTAGCAACAATTTTTTGCAAGTAAACAAATCAATGACAAGTCTCCCATAGATTGAAAAAATTATCCCTGTTCCTAAGGAATTTGCTCTATCAGTGAACGGATGCATATCAAATGCATCAGGAAATTCTTCAAAACTGTATCCATGACAAGTATTCCTTTATTACTCACTGCTGA